GCTTCAGGCAGCTCCAGCCCCGTCCTAAGAATCCCTTTCACCATAGTCACGTGCCTCAGTAACTGTGCCCAGAAAGCAGCCTGCTGCATCTGTGCTGCGGCTTTTCCTACTTCCGCCACCCCTCGCATGTCTCAGCCAACAAGCAATTCCTTGTCTTCCCTGGTCCCCTGGGGAAAGGGCTAAGAAACAGTCCACGTGCACCCTGACCTTATTAGCCTAAAGTAGGCAGAGGGGTGTGGAGCAGCCTAGAGTACAGAGCTCTAGGGAAGAAGCCTGCTAATAAGGGGCGCTCTCCCATAGCCGTGTATTAAATGCTAACTAGGCTGAGGAGGACAAGCTTTTCGAGCTCCTGTCATCTTCAGAACACGGTGGCTGGGAAACTTCAGAGCAGACCCAGTGCTGCATGTCTGCTCCTCCCCTGAGCCTCTCTGCTTGGGGATAGGAAGAACAACAAAAAGCCCAGTATGTTTCCAGTGCCTTACCCAACAGGGTTGGCTCCAAGCCTGGCTGGCCTGGAGGAGGAGGGGAGTGGCTTACCCTCTTGCCTCCTGCCCCCGCACACTCATACATGCACTCTACCACCTGTTCTTTCTCTGGCCTCTTGCTGCCACTTGTAGTGTAAGAGCAGCAGGAGGCAGGCTGTTAAAACAGAAGCTGCCCAAGGAGCCCAGAGCAGATGAAAGCAGCTCACTTCTTTTTTTTTTTTTTTTTTTTTTTTTTTTTTGAGACGGAGTTTCGCTCTTGTTACCCAGGCTGGAGTGCAATGGCGCGATCTTGGCTCACCGCAACCTCCACCTCCTGGGTTCAGGCAATTCTCCTGCCTCAACCTCCTGAGTAGCTGGGATTACAGGCACGCGCCACCATGCCCAGCTAATTTTTTGTATTTTTAGTAGAGATGGGGTTTCACCATGTTGACCTGGATGGTCTCGATCTCTTGACCTCATGATCCACCCGCCTCGGCCTCCCAAAGTGCTGGGATTACAGGCTTGAGCCACTGCGCCCGGCCAAAGCAGCTCACTTCTAAGACATTCTAGCTAACGGCAAATCCAAGAAAATGGCCAACACCTAAAGACATTTAAAAATGTTTTGGGGGTTTTCTAGTTTGTTTTTTTTTACACACTTAAGCTAACTCAACATAGGTTTGTTATCCTGGTGACTTACGGTCACATTCCAATAACTTTCAAGGGCCAAAATATGGTTAAAACTCACTGAAGGCCGGGCGTAGTGGCTCACACCTGTAATCCAAGCACTTTGGAGGCCAAGGCGGGCAGATCACCTGAGATCAGGAGTTCAAAACCAGCCTGACCAACATGGTGAAACCCCATCTTTAAAAAAAAACCCTCAAAATATCCATCCCTTCCATGCCTTAGTTTAACAGGTAGGCTTTATCTTTTGCCATTTCTGTACTTTATGGGCTATTTACCTGTCTCATAAACCCTCTAAACATATACAAAAGACCACAGATTTAATAGCTTTTCTTCTCATAAAGGGGCGCCAATGTTGCATCCAGTTATCGAAATAGAACCCTGCTACTCCTTTCCTACCGTTAAGCAAGGAACAATTTCAGACCCTCTGAGCTTGTGATCTTGATTGGCAAGTAGCAACAGCTGACTTTATTGGTAATATCTGCTTCCATTTACCAGCCTGAAAGCTCCTGAATTCTTTACAAACTATGCCTGTTAAAATGTATCTATTGTGCTGGCTTCAGCAGCACACTTAGTAAAATTGGAAAGATACACAGATTAGCATGGCCCCTTGGCAAGGATGACACGTCGTGAAGAGTTCCATATTTTTTATGCAGCCATGAAAAAGGATGAGTTCATGTCCTTTGCCGGGACATGGATGAAGCCGGAAACCATCATCTCAGCAAACTGACACAAGAACAGAAAACCAAACACCGCATGTTCTCACTCATAAGTGGGTGTTGAACAATGAGAACACACCGATACAGCAAGGGGAACATCACACACTGGGGCCTGTGAGGTGGACTGGGGGGGCACTAGGGAAGGTATAGCAAGGGGTGGGGGGATTGGGGAGGGATAACATTAGGAGAAATACCTAATGCAGATGACGGAGTGATGGATGCAGCAAACTACCAAGGCACGTGTATACCTATTTAACAGTCCCGCACGTTCTGCACATGTACCCCAGAACTTAAAGTATAATTTAAAAAAAAAATTTACCAGACCATCTGTGACAATAAACCCTTTAGAAGCAAGAAAAAAAAAATTACCTATTGTTGTCTCTAAGCCCTTGCTTCATGCCACTACTATCTCTACAGATGGTTCAAAAAAAGAAACTGAAAAGACAGCTATAGTGTAGCAAGATGCCATGCAAAACTGGCAACACAAAATCCAGGAACATTTTTAAACTACGCAGCAGGTGGAGTTAGGTGCCCCAATAATGGCTTTACAAACTTTTCCTCACCAAGACATAAATAGAGTTAACATTACTCATTTAGATCTTGCACATGTGAAGGGCATTACTAATGAATCTTTACCAGCTTCGTTTCTTACCGCACAGGAGATCCTCTGTGCCCATCATCACCCTCTTTATATCACCCATATTCGCTCTCATTCTTGGTTACCTGGTCCCTTATCAGAAGGGAACGCTTGAGCTGATGCTCTGGTACAACCACAGATGTGGTCTGCAGACTTTACTGCATTTTGCCAGCTCAAGTTGATCATGCTTTTTTTCATCAGAACACTCAAAGTCTTAAACAACAGTTTCATCTAACACTTGCTCAAGCTCGCATGATTATTAAAATTTGTCCTGATTGCCAATGGCATTCTCTCTCTTCTTTTCCGTAGGGCTTGGTGCCAACCCACAGTAGCAACAGAAAGTGGTATGAAATTATCATAGGAGACAGATTTTGGATGATATTATAATGGTGAATGCATGTCATGATCTATTTGTCAAAATCTACAGACTGTACAACACCAACAGTGAACCTTATGGACTTTGAGTGACAGCAATGTATCAATGCTGGCAGGGTGCAGTGGCTCATGTCTGTGATCGCGGCACTTTGGGAGGCCCAGGTGGGCGGATTATGAAGTCAGAAGTTCAAGACCAGCCTGGCCAACATAGTGAAACCCTGTCTCTACTAGAAATACAGAAATTAGCCAGGCATGGTGGCACAGGCCTGTGGTCCCAACTACTCAGGAGGCTGAGGCAGGAGAATCGCTTGAACCCAGGAGGCGGAGGCTGTGGTGAGTGGAGATCACACCACTGCACTCCAGCCTGGACAACAGAGGGAGACTTTTTTTTTTTTTTTTGAGACAAAGTATCAATGTAGATTCAGCAGTTACAACAAATAGACCATGGACAGGAGGTGTTGAGAATGGGGGAGGCCATCGAGGTGCTGGGAGAGGGCATATGGAAAATCTCTGTACTTTCTGCCTAATTTTGTTGTGAACCTAAAACTGCTCTTAAAAAATTAATCTTTGGAAAAAAACACCTGACAATAAGGATTGGTGAGGACAAGAATCAAATGGAAAAATGAACTCATACATTAATAGTGGGAATGTTCACTAACAATATTGGTGAGGCTGAGAACACCTATACCGCAAAGTCCCAAAATACTTCTAGGTATGAACCAGTAAAACCTCTTTCACACATTAACAGCAGTGTTATAGCAACATTGTAGTATCCACCAACAGGAGAGTGAAAATAGACTATTTATACAGCAGTGGTAATATGTGAACTAAAGCTACAAATATCAAGCACAAATAAATTGCATAAATATGTTGAGGGAAAAAAAGCAAGCTGTAGAAGAATTATAGTATATAATACTTAAATACATTTCAAAATCAGGCAAAACAGTAATACTATATTTCAAGGATTCTAAAATGTTATCAGTTACTGACACACTATTATTTTATGTGCAAATAAGAAAAAATACATCATTAAAATATGACACACTGTCAACTGTAAGATGTATTCTGATGTCAGAATGTTAAAATGTGTACTTTAGCATGGATGAAATCCAGAAAATGTTTAGAGACATGTGCACTAAAAGTCTAAGGAAATATATGGGAATGATACTTTTCTAATCCATTATAGCGCTTACCTCTGCAGGAAGAGAGGAACAGAGGGAGGGGTCATATGAGGGAGAGGTTAAAAATAATACAAGGAGGCCTATTATAAAAAGAAAGAGGCCAGGTGTGGTGGCTCATGCCTGTAATCTCAGCACTTTTCTGGGTGTGGTGGCGCGCACCTGTAGTCCCAGCTCCTTGGGAAACTGAGGCAGGAGAATCACTTGAACCCAGGAGGCAGAGGTTGCAGTGAGCCCAGATCAGCCACTGCACCCCATTCTCTGGCAACAGAGCAAGACTCTGGTCTCTAAATAAATAAATACTTCCGTATGTGTTACTTATATACAAATTATCTCCAGAAAGGTAGATAAGACATATGATCCAGCAAAAGTAAATACCACATCCCTTGTTGGAAGACCTTACCCTTCTAGTCCATGGCCCTGTGTAAGCAGTGCCAAATACCACTTTGTCACAATTTAACAGCCCGATGTGACTGGCCAAAAAGGCCTCCTCCAGGCATGGAAGCTTACCAAAGACTATCACAGGCTGAATGCCAAGATCTCATCCTTGGCCCCTGCGGTGTTAGCTATTACCATCATTACCAAGACGGTGGAGGAACCTACTGGAGACGGATATGCAGCACGCGGTCACGCCATCTCACCAACCTGGTGATGGCATCACAGGCACATGGCCCGTCACAATCCTGCCTGAGACACACACGGTAACGCACGCACAGTGCCCCTACAAACAAGCTATTCCAGATGCACCGATGCAAACCTCATAGCAACACAAGACAAAAGACGCACACGCTCTCGTGAGCAGGCTCGGAACACGCTCCGGCTCGGAACACGCAAGCGCAGACCCGCCGAGGCAGACACCCGCGAACACCCACAGGCAACCCCAAAGACCGTCCTACAGCTCCCGGCCGGCACAGGCTGGCCTCTATGCAACATGCAACCGCCCTACCTGGTTCTCCCGGGTACAAGCAGCACCGCCTCGCACGCCTTCATTCACCCTGGGAACACGGGAACCGCAGCTCCAGGAGCAGGACTGGCCTGCAATGGCCTCTGGGAAATTAAACAGGGGCAAGGCGGGAAACGCTCGTCGCGAAGGGTTATGGGGCTCGTAGTTCAGAGGGCGAGGCCTGTGCTCCCAATGATGCAAACCGCGTGCAGGCCCAGATACTTCCTAGAGCCACAGCCCCGCGCCATCCCAGGGTTCAGCTGGAAGAACTAAGGCTGAGGCCCCAACCGCTGCCCCTGCGCCGGGAAAGAGCGATGTGGGGAGAGGAGGAGCCGAGCGGAGGGAGGAAGGGAGTGTTCTAAGGAGCTCCTGCCCACCAGCTCAGCTGAAGGTGCTGCTGTCAGGAAGACCGAGTAGTGGAGGCTACACCTGGGAGAGGAGCGCTCTGAGGATGCACGTCCAAGGAAACCAACGCTCTGAGGATGCACGTCCAAGGAAACCAACAAGCCAAGAAGTCAGACCTGCAATTCACCTTAATTTGGGCAGCTCACTGCATCATAACGGGGCTCAGAGGCTGCAGGATAAACTGGGGAGACTGTTTTCCTGGTGTCCCAAGCCATCCAGAACAGGAGAAAGCGACCGTGAGGAGTGAGGGAACAAAGATGAAAATGTCTCTCTTTAGAGGAGGTGAAACTCCTGATTCCCAGCTAGCAAGGGAAGCCTTCAGGGAACTCTATGTCAGGACAACCCATGATGCAAGTAGTCTTTCATGGGTGTCAGGCCCCTGGGGATTTAGTGAAGAGGGCATATTTGGTGATTTCCAGCACCAGGGCTCACCGACCTTTATCGCGTGTGCTACCCAAGGCAAGGCAATGGCTTCCTACGGCCAATATATGCTCAAATTTTCTGCAAGAGTTGGGGTATTTGACCTTTATCTTTGGTACCAGAACAAGCCAACTACCTGGGTGGTATGGAGGAAAGGATTCTCCGCTTGATGGCAGTGAGAAGGAAGGGTCAGCAAAAGGGACCAAGAACAAATGGTCCAGGACATAGTCCTTCCCAGCCTTCACCATGGCACAACCAGAAAATGGTAATATTTGTACGCCACACTGTAGTTGTAAAATTAGAGTATAGGTTAAGCTGATATAGCAAAGATCCTAAAATACATATTAAGTGACCCGAATACCATGTTTATTTCTGCCTCGTGTAAGAGTCTCAAGCTGAGCAGTCCAGGGCTGGTGGGATAAGCTCTGCCTTCCAGCATGAGTACTATCCGTCTTTGGGGCAAAGGGGGATGTTAAAATTCTCAGTAATTCCCAGCCAGTAGGGAAGGAGAGGTTAGAGGAAGCAGGCACAGTGCTTTCTAGGGTTGCAGTCCAGAAATTATGCTCATCCCTTTTGCTCACATTTGTTAAACTGCACTGCATAAAAATTAGAAACTGTTGTGCATCACAGGATATTATGAAGACAGTCAAAAGATAGCCTATAAGAATGAAGGAGATCCCAGCACTTTGGGAGGCCGAGGCGGGTGGATCACGAGGTCGAGAGATCGAGACCATCCTGGTCAACAAGGTGAAACCCCGTCTCTACTAAAAATACAAAAAGTTAGCTGGGCATGGTGGTGCGTGCCTGTAATCCCAGCTACTTAGGAGGCTGAGGCAGGAGAATTGCCTGAGCCCAGGAGGCGGAGGTTGTGGTGAGCCGAGATCGCGCCATTGCACTCCAGCCTGGGTAACAAGAGCGAAACTCCGTCTCAAAAAAAAAAGAATGAAGGAGGGCTGGGTGTGGTGGCTCATACCTGTAATCCCAGCACTTTGGGAGGCCGAGGCGGGCAGATCACGAGGTCAAGAGATCAAGACCATCCTGGCCAACATGGTGAAACCCCATCTCTATTAAAAATATGAAAATTAGCTGGGTGTGGTGGCACGAACCTGTAGTCCCAGCTACTCAGAAGGCTGAGGCAGGAAATCGCTTGAGACCGGAAGGCAGAGGTTGCAGTGAGCCAAGGTCGCGCCATTGCACTCCAGCCTGGCAACAGAGCGAGACTTCATCTCAAAAAAAAAAAAAAAAGAATAAAGTAAAATATTTGCAAATCAGATATAGGATAAGCGTCTATTAATCTAACACATATTAAGATTTCTTTGTGACTCAACAGTGAAAAGACAAAAAAAATTAAACTTTGGGTAAAAGACATGAGTAGACATCTAGCCAAAGAAGACATGCAAATGACCGATAAGCATATGAAAAGATGTTTGACATCACTAGTCATTAGTGAAATGTAAATGAAAACCACAGTAAGGTACCACTTCACATCCACTAGAATGGCAATAATCAAAGAAGGAACAGTGTTAGTGAGGATGCGAAGATACTGGAAAACTGGTACATTGTTGGTGGGAATGTAAAATAGTTCAGCCACTGTAGAAAATGACTTGGCAGTTCCTCAGGAAATTAAACAGTGAATTACCATATGACGTAATGATTCTAACCCTAAGTATATACCCAAAAGAACTGAAAACAAGAACATGCACACACATGTTCATGGCTGCACTATTTACAATAGCCAAAAGGTGGAAATAACCCAGATGCCGTTCAACAGATGAATAAAGTTACCAGGTCACCAAATAAAGACAAAATTACCAGTTGTGGTAATTCATACAATGGAATATTACTCAGCCATTAAAAAAAAAAAAAAAAGTGGCCAGGTGCAATGGCTCATGCCTGTAATTCCAACATTTTGGGAGGCCAAGGTGATCACAAGGTCAGGAGTTTGAGACCAGCCTGACCAACATGGTGAAACCCCGTCTCTAAACACAAAAATTAGCTGCGTGTGGTGGCGTGTGCCTGTAATCCCAGCTACTCAGGAGATTGAGACAAGAGAGTTCGCTTGAATCTGGGAGCCTGAGGTTGCAGTGAGCTGAGACTGGGCCTGGGCTACAGAGCAGACTCCGTCTTTTTTTTTCTTTTAAAGAACAAAGTATGGATAATGCCACAACATGGATGAAGCTGCAAAATATTACACTAAAGAAGGTAGATACAAAAAGTTTCATATGGCATGATACAATTTAAACGAAATATCTAAAAATTTTTTAAAAGCCATAGAGATAGAACACAGATTAGCAGTTACTAGGGAACAGAGGAAGGGAAGAATGGGGGAGAAACTGCTTAATTAAAAAGCAGTTTTCCTTTGGAGTGATGCAAACGTTTTGGAATTAGAGGTGGCTGTTGCACAACACTGGGAATGTTCTAAATGCCACTGAATTGTTCACTTTAAAATGATTACTTTCATATTATGTGATTTTTACTCAATAAATTTATTTTAAAAGTGTAAATGGTCTAAACATCCCAATAAACAGATTTTCAGGCTAAATTGTTAAAAAGCACCCAACTGTATAATGCCTATGAGAAGCCCATTTTAAATAGAGAGAAGATGGTCGGGCATGGTGGCTCACACCTGTAATCCCAGCACTTTGGGAGGCCAAGGTGGGTGGATCAGCTGAGGTCAGGAGTTCGAGACTAGCCTGGCCAACATAGTGAAACCCTGTCTCTCCTAAAAATACAAAAATTAGCCAGGTGTGCGGGTGTGCACCTTTAATCTCAGCTACTCAGGAGGCTGAGACAGGAGAATCACTTGAACCCAGGAGGCCAAGGTTGCAGTGAGCCAAGATCGTGCCACTGCACTGTAGCCTGGGTGACAGAGGAAGACTCTGTCTCGAAAAAAAAAAAAAGAAGAAGAAGAAAGAAAAGGAAAAAAAAAAAGAAAACTATTGAAGGAGCTGCATGGCTTCTCTTAATTGCTTTTAGTAAAATGTGAGAAAGGAGGAAAAAAGCAAAGACATAATTTATAGTTAAAAGTGACGCAGAATATAAAGATTTGAAAATTTTTCAGCTTGGCCATGGAAAGAATAAAAAAGGGTATTTCAATGAGAAAACCCAAGGGTGTGGCTAACTGGCATTTTGATAAGATTAGTATGGCTAGAAGGCAGCCAGGTGCTCTTCATCAAAATAGTGGGAGAATGACCCTAGAGACATTTTAGAGATCTTTGAGGTTGCCATGCCCACCAAAGGCCCAGAAGCTTTGAGGGCAGAAAGGTTTTGAGAGAGAAGCCCAGGGTGCCCATGGGACCTTGATGCTCACTGCCTAGGGCTGCCTCAGGTCTCTGCTCCCTGCATTCCAGCAGAGCACTCCTCAGCTGCCTCTGTTGTGGCTCAAGCTGACTGACCCAGGATGTGACTTTGGTTGCTGCTCCAGAGGGCACAGTGGTGAGCTTTGGTAATGGCCACATGGTGCTATTTCTGCAGGTGTGCAGTGCAAGAGCCATGGAGGCATGGCTTCCTCCACTTAGATTTTAAAGTATGTCTTGGCCAGGCTCAGTGGCTCACGCCTGTAATCCCAGCACTTTGGGAGGCCAAGGAGGGTGGATCGCAAGGTCAGGAGTTCAAGACCAACCTGAACAACATGGTAAAACCCTGTTTCCACTAAAAATAGAAAAATTAGCCAGGCCTGGTGGCACACACCTGTAATCCCAGCTACTCAGGAGGGTGAGGCAGGAGAATTGCTCGAAACCGGGAGGCAAAGGTTGCAGTGAGCCGAGATCCTGCCACTGCACTCCAGCCTCGGAAACAGTGAGACTCCGTCTCCAAAAATAATTTTTAAAAAAGGAATGTCTTGGACAGCCTCAGGGCCACTACAGAGAGTCTCCACAGACCCCAGACGGTAGAGCCACCCGTGTGCATCACCAGCCTGGAAAAGCTGCAGGCATCCAACTTTAACCTGTGAGAGCTGAAGACCGGGCTGCACCCAGCAAAGCCATGGAGGCGGGGCTGCTCCGGGATTTGGGGGCCTAGCTCCTTCCCTAGCGTGTGAAGGTAGGACATGAAGTCAAGGATTATTCTCAAGCATAAAGATTGAATACCGTTGGCCCTTTTGTGTTTTGGATTTTGTTGAGACCTATTACATTTCTCTTCTTTCCTATTTCTCCTTTGGAATCAAAATGTCTACCTTATGTCATTGTATTTTGAAAGCACATTACTTGTTTGATTTCATAGGCTTACAGCTGGAGGTAGATTTGCCTCAGAATGAATTGTGCCTTGCATCTTACCTAAATCTGATTTGGATGAGACTCTGGACTTTAGACTTTTGAGATGATCATGGAATGAGTTAAGATTTGGGGGCTATTAAGATGGAATCAATGCATTTTTGATGTGAGAAAAACAAGAATTTGGGGAGGAGGCTACAGCTGGACTGCTACGGTTTGAATGGTGTGTCCCCTCCAAAATTCACAGGTTAAAGTCTTATCTCCAACGTTACAGTATTAAGAGGTGGGGCCTTTAAGAGGTAATTAAGTCATGAGAGCAAAGTCCTCATGGATGGGATTAGAACTCATATACCTTAGAAATAAACATGACAGTTATGAAAATTGATCACATATGAGGCAGTAAAGGAAGCTTCATTCAATTCCAGAGAATAAATGCAAACATCTGACTATCCAGCAATAGCATTAGAAAAAGATAAC